TCCAATCCGTTTGTGCCATGTAATTGAAATCTGTTCAAAGTTTAGGTAAGCACGGTCCGCAACCCACGTCTACTTTCGCTCCCAAACAATGCTGACTTCGGTTTTGGTTTACACCCTCTAGTTCCGCTTAGGTTTCGTGACTTACCCAGTACTCCGACAGATCTGCATTGTCTCAATTCTGTGAATCCGAAATTTAATGCTACACAAGTGGCGAACCACGTCGACAATAAAAATGCTGCTGAGCTTGGACGGTTTCGTGTACTGTTGCACCTGTTTTACTGTGTCGGTGTTCTTGCTGCAGTACATCCAAACACAGTTCCAGCGCGCCGTGCCATGTTCTTGCCGTTACTGTACCTCCACTAGCTGGCTGGACACCAACAAGGACGGTACGTGTCGAAGATTCCAAAAGCCACAGCCAGCGCAACAGATCCCCGTCGAATGCCAGCCAGTCATGAGATGCTGCCGATGCTAGCGCAACTGCTGCAGCGCAGCATGCCAGCACATCTGAACAGTGTGCCCTCTCCCTAGCTGTGAAGGGCGCGCCGCGCGTCGTCCACATACACGCTGCATAGCCACCCACATCCTTTCTTTTCTCGGACGCTACCCTCGCACGACCCAACCCAGGTGAGAAGTGCACCGCGCTTCCCACCAATCAACTTCGTCACACGCGGCAAGCCAACCACATCATTGGTACCCCGCACACCACCCCCTTTCCCTTCTCTCTTCCACCCCCCCATTTCCTTTTCCCGTTGGCAGGGGTGAGGTTACATGCTGTGTAGTTGTTTCTTGTTTTAGAATTTCAAATTTTGAATTTCTAACTTCGACTCCTCCTTACCATTTCTACCCTCGCCAAGACTCCCGCGTCGCATGCCGAGCCTCCACTCGCTGCGACCGCTGTCGCAGGTTTGGTGGAGTGTCCAATCATGGTGCGTGCATCTTCAGTCGTTGTAGCACTCTCATTAGTGGCTCCTTCACCCAAAGCTTCTCCTTTGTACTGTCACGTTTGTTCTGCATATAAATTTTGTAGCGAGGCGTCTTGCTGGCTATACGCTTCGCTTTACTGGCTCATCCCTAGAATCCATGGCGCTTGGCAAATCTAAAAACCTTGTCCCTGATTCTTTGAAAATGCACCAGACTCGATCACCGCTTCCGCGGAAAAGCAAGGAACGGCATTTGTTCTATCCATCCCCCGCAGGAGGTAACTTTGGTTCCTGTTACACTAGCCTTCTTTACAGTTATGTCCATAACTATCTTTGTTTTTACTTTTCCTTTTTTTTTTTGTTTCTGTACGATGCAGGAACCAATACTGAAAAAGAGACGGAGGAACCACCGGCTGGTCGTCACCCTACGGGCCCGCGTCAAAAAAACCTTTCATCGGAGCCTCGAAGATGTCAACGCTGCTGCCGGCGCTGGAACGTCCGAGCCTTCGCCGACCACTGGTGTCGCTCCGTCCCAGCCCGCCAAGGCTACGGGCCAGCCCGCCAAGGCTCCGGGCCAGCCCGCCAAGGCTTCGGGCCAGCCTGACAAGGCTCCTGCAGTCTCTGCCGACACTGCTGGTGGTCCCGAAGGCTCCGGTGACGGTGGTCATCTCCCTGCTTTTATCGAAACTATCGATAACTGTGTCGCTGTCGTAGCGGACAAGGAACCCGCCGCTGAAAAAGGTGATTCACTCATCTACTCTCTTTTCTAAGCCTTGGATTCTGTTGCCTGCAACCATGACTAATGTTGCTGTTCCGTATTTGTTTTTGTCCACTAACAGGAAAGGCTGATGCCAGCCCGATGGAGTTGATAATGTCACGCGCTAAAGGTCGGGTGTACGCTACTAAGGCCGCAGCTTATGACGAGGAAGAGCGCGACGAACCCTTGTTGAACGACGAGCTATTAGCCAAGGCGGGTACTCAAAAGGCGATCGCGGATGCATATTGCAAGGAGAACGCGCGTAGGGCGGGGGAATTGAAGGACTGCCTCGTGCTTATCACGCACCTTGCTAAGAAGGCCTCGGAAGTTGACGCCGGCGCTCTCACCTGGGAGGTAAGTTGAATTATTATAGTTGCATTTCATTTCCTCCAGAAACGTCGGATTACTAAGGTCTTTTGTGTAGCGCGCAGGTCTACACCAAGAAGGCTTGCGATGAGTTTCTGTTCAACCGAGAGATGCTCAATCTCTCTCCCGATTGTGATGACATGCTCAAGTCGCTTATTAGTAAGGGTTGCCCGCTGTTGTCACTGTTGTTGCTGTCCGTCCATGGTAGCTGACTACGTTTTTTTTGTATGCAGGGCATTCGGGCCACACGCCAGACTCACCTGAAGGCTTGAAAGTGGCTGCGATTGCGACGTCGCAAGGCAAGCTGAGGCATGCCTGTGTGCGTTTCAATGATCGCATCGGTAAGATCTACCGACTTACCCGCATCCTCGCGTTGACTAACGAGCCCTGTGTCTTCATGGGTGAGAAGCGTAGCCTGAAGGGCCAGACTATTTTCTACGAGCCCAAGGGTTTCTCTAGCAAGTGCGAAGTCTATGTCACAAGGAACGATTCCAGTAAGTAGGCTTCTTCACCGTTTTCTGTACCATCCGTAAACCTGTATCTGACCTTCTCATTGTCATTGCAGAGTTTTTCGGATTACCCTGGCATGTCCTTAACGGAGTCCCGTTTTCCACCGACGGTTTTATTAAATGTGCTGCTCTGTGGGACTCTGAGTGGGACGGGTCCCTCCCGATTGCCTAGTTTCCTGAGCAGCTTCTTGTGCTGCTTGCAGTGGTGAGTTCTCTAGTTTTATGGATGGTATTTTATCCTAATGTAATGCTTACAATTTTTGTGGTTACTGTCTCAGGTGCGTTCCAAATTGCGCAATCCCTGCTGCAACAAGGCCCAGTTCACTCGTTCCGGGGATCCTGGAGCTCTCGCCAGGCAGGCACGGGTGGTGCAGCGTTGGATCAACGCCAGCCAAGTTAAGCGCGAGGGAGAGTGCATTGGCATCGGGAAGCTATGCATCGTCGGTTGGACCGACATTTCTGAAGAGGAGCTCGATGGGGATGATCTTGGGGATCTGTCCCCTGATGATCTTGTCCCGACCAGCGCTCATCGCAGGGGTCATGATTCGTACCAGGTGCAGGTAGAACTGTTTTAGATTTAGGTAGTGTAGTTGTAAGTGTAGTTAATATGTGGCTACGTATTTTGTGTATACAGTGTCAATTTAGTAAATATATAATGTTGAGCAACGTTTGTTATGTTTCGAGTACTGGTAGTAGTTGTAGAGAAAGTTATTAAATTTATTATTTTTACCATTCTATTGGCGCCTACCGTTACATGCACAAGTGCCACCGTTACATGCACAAATGCCGCCTGAAAGTTAACGATTGAATTTTATCAGAGAAACCAATACACGCTAACTTCCGCGTCATCATTTCAATTGAGTTGCATCACTTTCGCTGGGCCATCAATTTTGAACGAGACGTGTAAAAAATAACGACCTTAGTTCAACATCCAAATTCCAACAACCGAAGCAGTGTTTATCGTGTCGATATTGCTGACGCGACAACCAATCGGAAAAAATTTCCGCCCACTGCCGATGCGCCGCTTGTCTCCGTTCAGTTCGTCGAAATTATCCAAGCCAAATCTTCAGGTTTGGCTTCCAGCTGATCGACCACTCGAAACCTTCTCGCGAGCAACAAGCTACTATACACGCAAACCACACGCTTCATCGGGGAAAACGCCTGCAGCCGAAAACCAATCGCTTACGACTGGTTTCCAACTTGGAAACCACACCCGCTCTTTCCCCGATGACCCCGTGAGTGCTCCTCCTCAAGTACCACCCCGTGAGTGCTACTCCTCAAGTACCACCCCGTGAGTGCTGCTCCTCAAGTACCACCCCGTGAGTGCTGCTCCTCAAGTACCACCGCGTAAGTGCTGCTCCTCAAGTACCACCCCGTGAGTGCTGCTCCTCAAGTACCACCCCGTTAGTGCTGCTCCTCAAGTACCACCCCGTGAGTGCTGCTCCTCAAGTGCCACCCCGTGAGTGCTGCTCCTCAAGTGCCACCCCGTAAGTGCTACTCCTCAAGTACCACCCCGTGAGTGCTGCTCCTCAAGTACCACTCCGTGAGTGCTGCTCCTCAAGTACCACCCCGTGAGTGCTGCCCTCTGCACTTCTGACGCACTACGTGGATTGCATGCCTCCCTGTATGAGCTACTCACCATGCCGTGAGAGCTACTCACACCCTGTGAGTGATCCGACGTGCATTGCATGCCACCGGTGATTGTTTCTGCTCACATGCATCGCCTGCCACCCCGTGTTGTGTAGTATACTCCCTCGTGCTCTACCCTGCTTGTAGTGAGTCGATTTTTGAGTCGACTCACTACATGCATTGCCTTCCACCCTGTGTTGTGTAGTATACTCCCTCGTGCTGTACCCTACTTGTAGCGAGTCGATTTTTGAGTCGACTCATTACATGCATCGCCTGCCACCCCGTGTTGTGTAGTATACTCCCTCGTGCTCTATCCTGCTTGTAGTGAGTCGATTTTTGAGTCGACTCCCTACATGCATCGCCTTCCACCCCGTGTTGTGTAGTTTACTCCCTCGTGCTCGACCCTGCTTGTAGCGAGTCGATTTTTGAGTTGACTCGCTACATGCGTCGCCTTCCACCCCGTGTTGTGTAGTATACTCCCTCGTGCTCTACCCTGCTTGTAGCGAGTCGATTTTTGAGTCGACTCACTACATGCATCGCCTGCCACCCCGTAATTCGTAGTATACTCCCTCATGCTCTACCCTGCTTGTACTGAGTCGAGTTTTTAGTCGACTCACTACATGCATCGCCTGCCACCCCGTGTTGTGTAGTATACTCCCTCGTGCTCGACCTTGCTTGTAGTGAGTCGATTTTTGAGTCGACTCATTACATGCATCGCCTGCCACCCCGTGTTGTGTAGTATACTCCCTCGTGCTCTACCCTGCTCCCCCAACCCCTCCTCACTCAGGAATACAGCGTTCAGCTAGCCGTGGACCTCACATGCGATTCACCTCCTTGCATCATCAAACCCCACCATCCTGCACCCCTCTCCTCTCCTTCCCCTTCCCCCTTCCCCCTTCCGCCTTACGCCTTCCCCCTTCCCCCTTCCGCCTTACCCTTTCCCCCTTCCCCCTTCCACCTTACCCCTTCCCCCTCCCCCCTTCCGCGTTACCCCTTCCCCCTTCCCCCTTCCGCCTTACCCCTTCCCCCTTCCCCCTTCCGCCTTACCCCTTCCCCCTTCCTCCTTCCGCCTTACCCCTCCCCCCTTCCGCCTTACCCCTTCCCCCTTACCCCTTCCCCCTTCCTCCTTCCGCCTTACCCCTCCCCCTTTCCGCCTTACCCCTTCCCCCTTCCCCCTTCCGCCTTACCCCTCCCCCCTTCCTCCTTCCACCTTACCCCTTCCCCCTTCCCTCCCTCACCTGCAGGAGTCAGGCACGCAGCTGGCCATGGGCCTCACATGCGACTCGCCTCCCTGCAATGTGAGAGAGGGGATAGTGGCAGAGACTGGGGTGCGTGGTGCATGGGGCACTGGTTGAGGGTTCGGGGAGAGGGTGGGGAACGTGAGGAGGTTGGGATTGCATCGAGGGTCGAGAGGCTTGGGTGGAGCACTGGTGTGGGCCCACTGTACTTGTTTACTCACCGCAGATGCATTGTACAGGACAGGTGTACTCACCCCACATGCATTGTACAGGACAGATGTACTCACCCCACATGCATTGTACAGGGGTACTCACCCCACATGCATTGTACAGGGGTACTCACCCCACGTGCATCATACAGGGGTACTCACTCCACATGCATCATACAGGGGTACTCACCCCACATGCATCATACAGGGGTACTCACCCCACATGCATCATACAGGGGTACTCACCCCACATGCATCATACAGGTGTACTCACCCCACATGCATCATACAGGTGTACTCACCCCACATGCATTGTACACGTGTCAAATCTCTATTAGCGACTGCACCAGCGGCATCGTGTGGGTTTGTGAGCTCTTTCAGCAACACGTGCTTCTGGATGGAACCTCCAAGCACGTGCATGATAAGTCGATTTTTGAGTCGACTCAAAAACCAATCACGTGCAATGCTGCACCACAGGTGCCTGATCACTTACCTCACCCAGTTTTCTCCTCCACGTTGACTGCTGCTCCCTTCTCCCTGTTCTCCCTCAGCCTTCGCCCAGCCGTGCTTCCCCACGCTGCCATCGGGCTTCTTCGGGCTTCTGAGTGCTCGCACATCGTCTCAGTTATTCCCGTTCACATCCCTCACAGGCGAGCGTGCCAACGCACACGCCACTCGTGCCCCTGACAGGGCAGCAAGCTGAGCGTGGAGGCAGCAAGCAGACCAGTGATTGATGCATGCATATTCTCCCCTCACGTGTGCTCCCATCCCTCACAGGCGAGCGTGTCAACGCACATGACGCTCACGCCCCTCTCGGACAGCAGCGGGAGTGAGGTGAGGGTGGGGGTGGCAGACCGGCAGTGAATACTTACATGAGCCCCCTTCACGTGTGCTGCCATCCCATCCCATCGCAACCCCCACAGTCGAGTGTGCCAACACGCATGGCCATCACAGCCCTCCCGGACAACACGGGCAGCGAGCTGAGGGTGGAGGCGGCGGACCGGCCGGGGCTGCTCATGGAGATCGTGGATGTGCTCACAGGGATGTCCATCAGCGTGACGTCAGCAGAGATCGACACCGAGGTGGGTGTGACGTCAGCAGAGATCGACACCGAGGTGGGTGTGACGTAAGTTTAGACGGGTGCTGAGGTGAATGGGGCATCGTGAAGGGGGGGGGGGGGGGGAGGATGAGGGGCCTGCACACCCCTCCCCCAGCAGCATGTGATGGCGAATTATTCGCTTTCTGTTAGTGCTGCTGTGAATGACGGTGCATCCATGCCGTGCCTTGCATGCCTCTTTTCAGTATATGCATGCGTGCACCCGTGCACTCATGCCCGTGCCCCAGGGTGCTGCAGGGTTTTTTTTAGGATTCTCAGAAAAACCCTGCAGCAGAATGACAGTGCATCCGTGCGGTGCCGTGTATGCCTCTTTTCATGCACCTGATCACTCATGCCTGTGCCCCAGCACATGTTCTGATGACAGATGTGGTCCCTCTGCCACGCTTCCCACACTGCACTGTAATGACCACCACCCATGTTGTATGTATCTCCCTTCTATGCGCATGCAGGGAGTGGTGGCGAAGGATGAGTTGACAGTATTTCACATTTCACACAACATTTATCGTTTCCCATCCTCCATGTCTGTGCGGTCAGGGCGTGGTGGCGAAGGATGTGTTCACGGTGTCGTACCATGGGGGGGCACTGGATGATGAGATGACCACGGTGAGATGAAACGAGCACGGTGAGATGAAACGAGCATGATGAGATGAATCGAGCTTGGTGAGGTGAAGCAAAAACGGTGAAATTAGAGGAGCACGGTGGGATGAAACGAGCATGCTGAGATGAAACGAGCGCGGTGAGATGAAATCAAGCACAGAAAGATGAAGCTAGCGCAGTGAGATGTAACGAGCATGGTGAGTTAAAAGGAACATGCTGAGATGAAACAACCACCATCGGGCCATTGTGCGCTCCAGCATCATCTTCGTTTAGCAAAGCTGTGGGTATGACTTGGAGGTATACGTTGTTCCTCACACTCCACTCACGCCACGAGACGTCAAATGAAGCACCCACCTGCTGCTTAGATGATGCACTCCCTACTCTCGTCTCCGCATGCTCCATCATGCATGTACCTCCTCCCCCTTCACACCTCCTCCTCTTTCTCCTTTCTCCTGCCTGACTCTTAGGGCTCTCAAGCGCAATCCCTCAGTTTCTGAGTCTCCTCCTTCAATCATCTCTCTTTTCTCCTCTAATCGGTGTCCCCCTCCTTCCTTTCTCTGTCATCCTGGCTGACAGCCCATGTCATCCACCTTTCTTAATACTTCTGAGAGTTGTTATAACTAACTTTCTGTTCAGTCACGTACCTCTCTCTCCTCCTCCCCCTCCTCGACCCCCCCTCAGTCAACCCATTTGCTCTCATTTTCCATTCGCTTCTCTTTCGTCCCTTCTCAATCTCTCGCTCCCTCCCTCCTCTCCCCACCCCGTCCCAGCTCACACTCAACGCCCTCAACTACACTCTCTCCCGGCCAGACATCGAAGCAGAGGAAAGCTATTAGTGTCCTGAGGTGCCTCATAACGAGGCAGAGAACTAGCAGGGACCAGCAGCAGATCCCGGCACATAATAGACATGGGCATGTTCTTGCTGGTCTCGTTACGGACTGAATGTTCACCAACTTGGCTTTTCGCACTGCTGTACAGTCTCTATGTGTATCCATTAGTCAATATACCATGCTGTGTTTCCTGTATGCCTTTCCTGCACAGCGCACGCATGTGGATGCCAAATATGATTATTCTCAGACGGTTGCATTCAAGAGGCGCTAAGTTATATTATTCTCTTGACTGCACAGCTGCCATGGATGACTGAAACTCAGCAACCACACATGCTTACACTCCACATGGTATGCGTGATTTGCTCTTGCACACAAGTCGTGTTTCAACCTTCACAAAATTGCCACAAATCAGAAAAATGCACACACATTCCCTTCACAAGTTGACAGAAAGAACCCGCAAATGATATTGATACATCCTACGGTCCACACCACACTGTCTGGCTGCTACAAGCTTGGACGAAGCAGCACTACACTGATAGCCCCCATGCATCAGTGCATGTGCTGCTGCATCCAAGCTCCGGCAATGACAGCAAGCATGAAACCCCTAGGCTCTTGCATCGATGCCATTGCAACCCCTGCACCACTTGCAAATCTCTTGCGCTTCCCCATATGGTAAAGCCACCTAGTACCGGTACCAGTACCATAACTGAATTGAACTTCTTTGGACCTTGAATACCCCATGCCTGTGCCCGTTCCATGAACCATGCATGCCTCGCATCAAGGAGAACACGAGCCTGGTCCGCCCATACCGCTTCCTATGTTGCCTCCAGGCCCTCCCATCCCTCAGCTCATTCCTCCTCCCATCCCTCCGCCCATCCCTCCGCCCATCCCTCCGTCCATCCCTCCGCCCATCCCCCCTTCCCCCATCCCTCCGCCCATCCCTCCACCCATCCCTCCCCCCATCCCTCCGCCCATCCCTCCCCCCATCCCTCCGCCCATCCCTCCGCCCATCCCTCCGCCCATCCCAGGTCCACCCTGGCCGGGTGCTGCCTGCGACCCTGGAGCAAACCACCCTGACCCGCCCATGCCTCCGCTGCCCATTCCACTACCTCCCATACCGCCGCCGCCCATTCCTCCGCCGCCCATGTTTCCCCCAGGACCCATGGCTGATTGCGATCCGGGAGCAGAGGAACCAGGTCCGCCCATGCCTCCTCCCATGCCGCTACCGCCCATTCCACCGCCGCCCATGCCGCCTCCGCCCATACCGCCGCCGCCCATTCCTCCGCCGCCCATTCCGCCGCCACCCATGGTGCCGCCGCCCATTCCGCCTCCGCCCATTCCGCCGCCGCCCATGCCGTCGCCGCCCATTCTGCCGCCGCCCGTTCCGCCGCCACCCATGCCGCCGCGGCCGCCCATTCCGCCGCCACCCATGTTCCCCCCAGGACCCATGGCTAATTGCGATCCGGGAGCAGAGGAACCAGGTCCGCCCATTCCTCCGCCCATTCCGCCGCCGCCCATTCCGCCACCTCCCATTCCACCGCCACCCATGCCGCCTCCGCTCATTCCGCCACCGCCCATACCGCCGCCGCCCATTCCTCCGCCGCCCATTCCGCCTCCGCCAATTCCGACGCCGCCCATTCCACCGCCGCCCATTCCGCCGCCGCCCATGCCGCCGCCGCCCATTCTTCCGCCGCCCGTTCCGCCTCCGCTCATTCCTCCTCCGCTCGTTCCACCACTTTGTTGTTGCTGCTGGCCGGTCGAACCTCCTTGCGCCCATCCGCGCATCATCCCGCGCAGTTTATCTGCGCGGAGCCCCGCGGAGAAGCGGAAGGCCATCGCCGCGTGGAGAGATGAGAGTAGGACGAGCGAGATGAGGAGAGGAGCCGTGCTCAGGTCACGGCGACGACGCTGGATCGACGAAAATGCCATTCTGCGCGATGCCTACGATGCAGCAAATATTTCAACGGAGAAGGAAACCCAGCTGTTCAGGAGAAATCTAGCTGCCCAGGAGCTTGGAAGTGAAGACAGGAAGCAGTTTCAGTAAGACTCGGAAAGCTTTGTCCTAATTTTAGGCTGAAGTGAAGTGAATCGAAATGAGGAAGACTGAATAAATGAGTTGCTGAATGCCGCATGCATTCTTGTACCCTCGTCGCGTCGCCAACACAAGGCAATGTTTTTGCACGGCGCGATGACTCATACTGTAAGGAATGGACCAATGAACAATCAGAGGCTGCTGGTGAGTCAAACTCACGAATTTTCAGTCAACGTCTCGCAAAACATGTTGACCACTGTAGCTTTCTTCACCCCGCTTCAAGAAATTGGAAGAAACTGGAATCCCGTTTTCAATCTGATCCGATATGAGGAGTATTCGTCTCTGTGAGTAGCGCAAGCATCGATTTCCGAATCTGGTTATCAATTTCACATTTGCACCAGTCATTTTAGTCCTTCCACAATCGAGAATGAATCTCTAATCAGCAACCTCAGTCTCGTAGTGACAGCGGCAATCTGCTGATGGTGAGCACACCCTAAGGGCGTTACTTTCGGTGACGCGATCCGCGACTTGCCTTGCTCTACCAAGCTGACGTGGCAAAATGTCGAAGTCGCTCGGCGGCAGGGCAGGGGGGCTCAGAAACAAGGCGAGGACGCCGAGGACTTCCGACCGACCAAGAGAGCGAAATTCCATTTCGACGCCGCGCAGCGACTCCGCTGCCGCGTGCCCCGTCGCGTCATGCTTCAACAGTCGGGTTGTTGTGCTGACATGAAACTTTCTATTCCTCCTCCACCCATGCCGCTGCAGTGAAAGCAAAGAACACGAATGAATGAACTATGAAGTGAGTGAGTACAAGAACCAACCCTAAATGGGTTGTACCCTCTATGGGATACCCCACTATAGCCTACGCAAAAGCATAAGCTATAATGTTCTGACACGCCCCCATAGGCAAAGTGGGGGAGAACAAGGGGTCACAAGACCAGTCAAGCAAAAACAAAGCAAAGCTCAGGGTGGATCACAAAGTCATCACACAGTCCGAGCACAAGGTCAAGGCCACAAGGCCAGTTCACATGCAAGAGGAGACATATATATATATAAGGCTAAACAAGTAAGAGCAGGTATATATATATATGCAAGAGTACAAGCAAGGTCAAGAGGTGAGCAAGTGAGGTAAGACAGGTACAAGTCCCAGCTGAGTGCAGAAGCGCTGATGATCACAAGGCGCAAGTGCCTTGGTGAAAACATCAGCAGTGTTGGCCTCAGAGGCCACGTACGCAAGTCGCAACTGACCACGCTGCTGCAGCTTACGAGCAAGGAAGTAGCGGAGAGCAATCTGCTTCGTTCTGTGCTCCAAGCGCTGCTCTTGACACAAGGCCAGCATGGCCTTGTTGTCTACGTACAGCACTGGAGGAGAACGAGGCGGCTCTCCAAGGTCAGTCAGCAGGTAAGTGAGCCAGCGAAGCTCCTGTGCAGCCATGGCCGCGGCGTAGATCTCAGCCTCACAACTGGAGCCGAGAACAGAAGACGAGCGAGTAGCCCGCCACGAGACAGAGCCAGAACCAAGAGTGAAGGTGTACCCCTTCGACGACCACTGCGTAGCCTTGTCGTCAGCCCAAGAAGCGTCTGCGTGGCCAGTGAGGACCACTTGACTCCGCCCTCCAAGCACTAGCCCCATGCGCGACGTACTGCACAAGTAGCGCAACACCCTCTTTGCTGTAGCCATGTGCTCTAGTCGGTGTCTCCTAGGAGCAACATAGCTTGCAAGAATGCTAAGAGGGTATGCAAGGTCAGGTCATGTGCAGATCATCAGGTACATGAGGCAGCCAACAAGCTCTGCATACGGACCACTCGACTCTACGGACTCATCCGAAGGCAGAGCTGAGAGCGAGTGGCGAGTAGACAGAGGAGTGGCCTGAGGCGAGGAGTACGTGAAGCCGAAGCGCTGAAGGACCTCCTGCACCATGTGTGACTAAGTCAAGGTAATGGTGCGGCGTGCTCTGTCCCGAGTGATCTGCAAGCCAAAGTAGCTGCGCAGTTCACCCAGGTCTGTGCACGTGTGTCTCTTCTGCAGCTCGGACTTCACGTAGGCGAGTCCAGCAGTGTCAGCAGTGGCAAAGACCAAGTCGTCGACGTATACGAGGATGTAGAACGGCGGCAGAGAAGTGTCGGTGCGCAGAAACAACGACGGGTCAGCAGTAGAGGGAGGATACCCAAGAGCCGCAAGCGTAGTCCTTAGTGTGTCGTGCCACTCACGCGGAGCCTAGCAGAGACCGTAGACTGGCCGTCGCAGGCTCCACTGGGTGCCAAGAGGGAAATTCCCAGTGAAGCGAGGTGGACGGCGCAGCCAGATCTCCTCGTGTAGGCTGCCTTGCAAGAAAGCAGTGCTGAAGTCAAGAGAGTGAAGATCGTAGTCGCGCTGAGCGGTTATGTGCAGCAACACCCGAAGAGTGGTCATCTTCGGGGTGGGAGAGAAGGTCTGAAAGTAGTCAACTCTCTGCCGCTGACTGAAGCCACGAGCGACGTACCGCGCCTTGAAGACAGGTGGAGAGCCAAGCGGCCGCTTCACCGTTAAGATCCACATGCCACTGACGATGTTTGCCCCAGGAGGGGGAACCACGTCAACGTAGGTGCCTGTGGACTTCCAGGAAGCCATCTTTGCATCCATAGTTGCCTGCCACTGAGAGAAGTAGGGACCCTCTACAGCCTCCGCGTAAGAACGTGGAGTAGGGTTGTCTAGTGCATCCGGGTCTCCCTTAGGGGCAAGCAGTAGAGATGCGAGATGAGGTGAAGCAGCTGCCAGACACTGGAACTCCTCTTGCCTGTCCTCAAGGACGTCCGTGCCAAGAGCACACTCACCCCTGACGGACGGAGGACAGACAGACGCAGACTCAGCAACAAGGCTGGCAGCGTAGTCTACACGACAGCGAGCAGCAAAGTCGACGAGCTCAGCAACAAGAGCAGATGCAGCAGTGGACTCAAAAGAGGGGTCAGTGACAACAGTAGGAAGAAGACGCGTGACAGTAGGACTGGCAGCACGAAGAGAGACAGACTCCGGGTCGGCAAGCGCAAGAAGAGAGGACTCAGGAGGAGAAGGCAAAGGGGCACGCAGAGGAGCGGTGGACGGACGCAGAGACATCCGGTGCGTGCCAGGGACAGGAGGAGGACGCTGACGTGAACCGCGACCACTAGCACGAGCAGCATGAACAGGTGACGCGGGACGAGACGCATGCTCAAGACACTCAGCAAGACCTCTAGTAGGACCAGTGTAAGGAGAGGGAGCAGGCAGTGGGGAGGCGGGCTCTAACAGTGGCTGGGACTGGACAGCCGGTGGACAATCTACAGGAGGAGAGAGACCAAGAACCTGCTGCAGGAGCGGAACGAAGTACGGCCGAGGCTGCGCGGCGACTCTAGACACAGTAGGGACAGCACCAGCACCCTCGGCGGCAGCACCAGCACCAACAGCACCTCCAGCGGCAGGACCTCCAGCAGCGCCAGCAGCAGGACCACCGCCAGGACAGACAGCAGCAGTCTCAGCACCACCACCCTCAGAAGCTCCAGCTCCAGTAGGACCCGCAGGCCCAACAGCCACGGGACCGGCGGCACCAGCACCCTTAGTGGCTGAAGAAGCCCCAGCTCCAGTAGTACGCCTCCAGCGGCTAGCAAACCACTCGCGCAGCTCCTGTGGAGAGAGGGGCTCCCTCCGAGACGGAGCACCCAGAGAACCTCCAAGCCGAGCACCACCAGACGCCACAAGGGGAGGTCCAGTGGCGGGAGGCTCCGCACCTCCAGGCTCAGCAGCTCCAGACTCAGCACCTCCAGGCTCAGCAGCTCCTGACATAGCACCCCCAGACTCAGCACCCCTTGGCGTAGTACCCCCAGACTCAGCAGCCTCAGTCGCAGCACCCCCAGACTCAGCACCCCCAGGCTCAGCACCCACGCGTACGACACCCTCAGAGTCAGCACCCCCAGGCTCAGCACCCATGCGCACGGCACCCCAAGAGTCAGCACCCCCAGGCCCAGCACCCACGCGCACGGCACCCCTAGAGTCAGCACCCCCAAGCTCAGCACCCATGCACACGGCACCCCAAGAGTCAACACCCCCAGGCTCAGCACCCGCAGCAGTACCAGAGTCACCAGCAACCTCGATCGGCTCATCTGCGTCAACCTGGGACACCCTGAAGGGGTAAGACCCTGTGGGGGAAGGGGGTCTACCGGGGGGGGACCAGGCACAAGGAAGTGCGGAGGTGGGGGGAGGGAAGGAGTGCGGTAGGGGAAGAGACGGTAGAAGGGGACTGACTCATGGAACGTGACGTCCTAGGAGGACACAACACGACGAGAGGAAGGGTTGTAGAACTGCAACCATGGAGCGTCAGGCGGGAAGCCAAGGAAGACACAGGGAGCAGCACGAGGGGACAGCTTGTCCACAGACAAGTCGCGGAGAAAAGCCCGAGATCACCAGACAAGGAACGCAGACGCATCGCCGACCTTCCCAGTCCACAGCAGAGCCGGGGAGGTACGGACCTTCCCCGGCCGGGAAACCCCGGGGTGAAGGTTGATCTGATGCGCCGCGTACCGAACCGCAAACGGCCACAGAAAATGGGGGGCAGCCGCATGCATCATGGACGTACGAGCGATGTCCATGACCATGCTAATGCGGCGCTCAGCAATCCCATTTTGCTGCGGAGAATCCGGAAGCGTAAAGGTCTGGCGGATGCCTCGTGCAAGACAGTAGGCTCGCATAAGGCTAGAGGAGAACTCTCCGCCTCGGTCAGAGTGCAGACGCAGTACAGGAAAGTCCGAGCCGAAGCCCCTCCTGAGCTGGAGACGAGCTGCGCGGATCCAGTCGATCAACACCTCAGTGACATCACCCTTGCTGCGCAAGGGGAAGACTGTGGTGTAATGCGAGTAGTCGTCAACCACCAGTAGGAAGTAGCGCTCG